AAAGGAAAAACAATCACTGATGACATCCATAGTTGCAACAATGGATAGAAGAATGATTATTTCTAAAGTGATATTCTTTTACTGATAGTATCGTATGATATCACTGTTCTCTTTTACATCTGATTTCGAAGTAATCCGAGCGGCTAATATTCTTGTCAATATAAAAGGAATGTTGAAAGCTAAGATTTGCAGGAATGATTCAAGTCAATCTGCTAACTTATTAAAAGTTGAAAACTTTTCGTCATCCATCCATTTTACGAAGCAGAAATAATTTGTACCTGCAAAAAGCATGCTTTCCTAAATAAACATCCAATATCCTCAACAGTGATTATTATTATACCATTGCTAAAACAAAAAAAATTTAACACTGATCATTGCAGTTTCATGGAAAGATTCCGAATTTAATGACTTTTCGCTTCATAAAATGTCAAAAATACAAATGAAATCCATCATGCTCATTAATCTAATTATAAACATCTGCTATAGTTTGTCCTAAGTAAGATAAAGTGGGCTTTGAAGTAATCCGATAATGGAATGAATAATTTGGAACATATTGTTCTGAAAGGTAATACTGAGTTCGTATGTCTCTTATAATTTACATCTATATAATGAAGTGTTAATTGTTTAGGAAATAAAGGTTAGCGCTCATAACCGCAGCATAATTAAATTGTTTTTCTTTTCATCGCATAAATTATAACAATTCAACATTCCTTTCAATGTCCAGATGACCTTTGACAGTGCTAAAATGAATAACCAAATTAATATGCAAAGCTTACAATGTTATTCAACTAGTAGTTAATGGAACTATTAACTGTTGCTCACAGTGATGTTCCATTAAATATGATGGATTGTTATTAAGCATATGTTCAAATAAATTTGATCTACTAGTCTAAATAAAGGAGGAAACAGTTTGTCAAGTAGGATCATTTTACGACAAATGTACTAAGTGAATGATAGTAAGCTTCTTCGATCAGTAAAACTGTCTGAGCATTAAATGAGAATATTTAGGTTGTTATTTGAAATATGATCATGGCATTAAATCGTAATATTTTGCATTCTCTAAATAAGTTATCACAATTTCAATTATTATTCTCCTATTAAATCTTGATCCCAAGAATTACAGGAAATCATTTTCATCCATTTTCATTCATTATCTCTGATTAAATTATAGACATGTTATCAACCTGCGATTTTGAAGTTACCATTAGATCTTATTTGCGCGTGCTACATGTAAGACAGCAAAATACTGTGGAAATGAAAAAAAAAAAATACAAAGCTAATTTTCTTATCTGTTATCAGTAGCATTTCCCACCACAATTATGTATTTTTCACTTTCCTAAATTTTATTAGAAGGTAGATAATTAATTTTCCCCTACTAAAATACCTTCCTTTGTGTGTCCTTTAAAATAAATAAAAACTAGTTACTATCGTTCATCTGACAAATTATCAATATTCAGCTGTCAGAAGTGTCATCACAACCCGTCCGTCCAATTGATGCCATTTATCCATTCATTCATCATTGGATTTGTCTGCTGCCAGACCATGCCTGGGTATGAATAAAATTGCTTTTATTTGTTTATTCTTTTAGGATAGAAAATAGGATGGATGAATCATCCGCTACCGTGATAAAACTCAACCACGTCTTTAAAATAGCTGATAGTGTGTCCATTTCTTTTCACCCTGCTAAATATTCGCAATGAGTGTAAAAAGGGTAAAGAATGCCATTTATGCAAAATTTAAGATAAAGGAGAAAAAGATATGAAGACGTAACGAGATACATCACTGCTGCTAATGTATCGATGACATCACTCATAACATCAAAACAATTAACTTATACATACATATTATTAAAACAGCAATTACAACCTATTCACAGAATGCATTCTTCCCTTCCTCAAACACAGGATATTACCATTATTATCATGAAAAGCTGATAAAATATTCGTACAAACTAGCAAGCACACAGAAAGATAAAATGGAAGTACGACAAATGGATTGGCATACGAATAAGTGAGCGATGAAGAAACATTTACATAAACCTTTAGTATTTTTTTTTATTTCAAATGATAAGTATCCCTTACTTTGTACCACAAGTTATAGTGGAATATTAAAAGTGCTAATCTTCATCAAGAGTAAAGGCAATAGTGGATAAAAACTTAAGCAAATGGATCTGAAAAACACAGGCACTTGCGGTCAGACTAACGGACATATAAAATAGCAAAATAAACAAAAAAACAAATAAAAAAAGCAAACAGCGTCCGGAAATGCAATACCGTATCATCACAATGCAATTAAACATGAAATCAGTACAGGAATAAGTGGAAAATTACAGTCAAGTCAGGATGATAAAAATAAAACAAATTACTGCAGCGGTTAAAGAAATGCTATGATGAAAAAAAAATTTTTCACTTCTCGACTTTATCATTTAAATGTTAATCCGAAAATATGAAAATTTTCAACTTCGAGAGAATCCTCAAGACATAAAAAGATTGAATTTCGAAAAATAATTGAAATTTTTCGTAGTTTGCTTTATTTAATTGAAAAGAGCAAAAAAGTGATATGCGTAAATCCAAGAACAGTAGAATAAAATAAATCATTGAAGATTAATATAAATAAACAAAAATAAAATTCATAGCAAGTAGCTCACGCTTATCAGAACAAAGATTGATGAGGACAGAGGAATAACTAAATTAGAAGTAAAAATCAGATAAAAAGTTAAGAAAACACGATTATGATAATAAAAAGCAAAATTATGGTAAAACTGGAACACTGTTTCCCGCAATTTCGCATGATTAATTAAACAAGACCAGCCAGTAGTCCGTTGGTAATATGTTTAATGTACTTAATGATGTTGAAGAACTGCAATAAAAGTTCGGTAGAATAATTTAACGATTCCTTTTTAATGGCAGTTACTTAGATAAGTCTTAATCCTTCATAATAGGTGAAAATAAAAATCTTTCCATCTTTGTTGAAATGTATATCGTGTACCGATAATTAAAATGAGATTCACCACATCCAACTACATAACAACTAACAATGGTTATAGGCAATCGTTGAATCTTTCATATTCAAGTATGTCAATTCAGGAGAACTTACAAGCAAAGTATCACTTTTTTCTCGATATGGCCGAGTGCTTGCACTAGCTTTCTGAAATTCAGCTTCAAAATTATCCGCCAAACGTCGAAGCTGCTCAGCAATCATGCGGCTGCTCCATTCTTCTTGCTTTCCTACAAACAAAAAAAAAAAGAAAAGAAAGAAAAAAAAACTGCTCCAGAAATAAAGAACCGATAGAAAATAATTTACTGTTCTTCGGCATGAGAAACGAAAAGCTGAGTAAGGTTAGTATGGCAAAATGAGATGAGAAACAAAAAAGAAAGCAAAAATTAAAACTATGCCAACTTTTAGTACAGTTATTCAACCGCTTCACAGGATTAACTGATTATGAAGAATGACATTTGAAATACAAATAAGCGGAAATTAAATTAGACTTGAACAATAATAAAGACCAAGTGTTACCTTCGCAATTTTCTGCACCCATCTTGTTAATGATTTTCTTCAGTTTGGCTCTACCACTTCCAAAACCTATACCGAGAAAAAAGTTTTTTCGAAAAGCCGACTCATCCTCTTCTATCCAATTTCCCTGTTCCATCCTTATGCAACTCTGAAATGAGTAAAACTTATTTGACGAAATGCCGTTACAGCAAAAGTAAATGAAAGACTGGAGAACAGCCTGAATCGATTGAATAAGTTCATGGGAATGAAATTCGAACAACTTCTCTCCTACCTCTCCCCTTTCGTTTTTAAATCAAATGAGAGTATGAAAAAAGGAATAAGGCTATCGACAGGCATTCAAGAATCGGGATGAACTAAAAATAAAGTGACAATGCCTTACTTGTATGCGGCATTCTTCATGATCACGCAGCGGCATAGCAGTATCATAGGGACAAGTTGCTAAGACATGTGAATAGCTCAAATAACCACCGGTGTAATGCATCTAGAAAATAATTAAAAATACTGGACAGGTAATCCATTAAAAATGGTGGCTGGACTACCCTGTCATAATTATTGAAGTGCAACACCATATGCAAAGTTAGAGGTTCTAAATATATGTAAGTTACGATAAACGTACTTCCGACTGTGGCGAAATGCAACAATTGAGAAACCAAAACCGTGGACTTCGTCGAATCATAGCTTCGAAAGAAGATAAAAGGAATAAAACCGATCAACAGAACCGAAAAACAGGTAATTAAGCGTACGTTGCTCTCGCTATCGCTGCTAACGATGAGT